CCATTGGCATAAAGGTAAAATGGAGCTGGAGCTCAGCCGCAATCGGAGCAGCAACAGCCGCAGCAGCAACTTCTCTCCTCAGCGCCAAGCCAAAAGATCCAACTTTCCACCTCATCTCCATAGACCTAACCTCACTGAAACTAAACCTCCCTGTCCTCGACGCAGAGTTAATGCTGACCGTACACGTCACCAACCCCAACATCGCAGCCATCCATTACTCCTCCACAACCATGTCGATCCTCTACGAAGGCACGGTCCTTGGAACGGCGGATGTCGCAGCCGGTTCGCAGCCTGCGAGATCCTGCCAGCTTCTGAAGTTCCCGGCGCGTCTGGACGGGATGGAGCTTGCGCAACACGCGCGGCGGTTCTTCGCTGACGTGGCGAAGAGGGAGATGAAACTTGAGGCTAAGCTTGATATCGAAGGAGCGGCTAAGGTTTTGTGGTGGGACCATAGTTTCAAGGTGCATGTTGATAGCTTCGTGACCGTTGATCCCGTGTTTCTTGATATTATGGGTCAAGAGAATAAATCTCAGATGGATTTGTTTCTTGCTTGAGCTAATGTTGTATGGATTCGTTTCTTGCTTAAGCAAATGATAATTCGTAGTTTAATCCAATATTTATCTTTAGTTTATCAAACTATTTAGTTTTTGATATAAACCCTTAATCTTCTAAATCGTTACACAAAACCCAAAATTAACTTTTCTCGTATCAAAGAAGTGCTCGTACAATCATCGTCACTGTAAAATGGCATTTCGTAGGGTTTTACTCTCTCACCTCCGACGACCACCACGCCCAGCTTGTTCCTCTCTCTCTCCTCCCCATGTCGCCTCCTCCCCGTCACGGCCGTCGACTGCGATCGCTCTTTTCCAATCCCGATTGTTTTCCACTCCCACAGACCTCGACTCTGAACTGAGTCGACTCAGAGACGATTCAATATCTGGCCTCGGTGGTCATGGATTAGATTTCGCCGATTTGGGGCAGGATTTGATCGGAGCTGGTGCGGCGAACCATGATTTACTAACCCGGCATGTGATCTCGTTGCTTGATTCATACCATGACCTCACTGGATTGCCCTGGTAAATACAAAGATAATTCCTTGAAAAGTTATGCTTTTAATCTCCCAATTTGTGCCTGAGGATTGGCTTTTGAATCGTTCTCTAAAAAGTTTCTTCTTTCACCTCCTAATCGCCAAAAAAGTTGTCTTCTTTTGTGAGTTCATAGTTTTTGTTAATTTGCCTCAGATGAATTGCCAGGTGGGTCGTTATTGTTTCGTCTACAGTAGCTTTCAGAACAGCTCTGCTTCCTCTACTGATTTTGCAGCGGAAGCAAACAAAAACCATTTCACAATTCTTACCTCAGTGTGAGCATTTCCTTTCTCACCTTTCCTCTCTTATTCAGTTTCTGAAAATCTTTTGATAGTGTTAAGATGCTAATAGTATGATACTTTTTTTTTTGTTAATCTCCAGTACCGCCATTTTGGCCTCCGAAAGGTTCAGGAAGGAGTGTTGTTGAACATTTTATGCTGTTCCGGAGAGAAAGAAAAGCTCTCGGATGCCCTTCGTTTTTGTGGATTCCTGCTTATTTCTCCATCCAGGTGAGATGCTTATTATATATAAGTGTTTAAATTGTTACAGGCCCTTTTGACGCTTACAATTGTGAATCATGAGACCGTATTTAGATGGCTAGTTTTGTGTTATTACTTATTGGTGTAAATATGTCTTAGACGCATAACTTGAAATATTATTCTTTGTGTGGAAAGAGTTTATAGCTTACCCCACAATCCACATTCGTCTTCCTGCAGATTTCATGTTTTTTCATGTGGATTACTAGCATTAGAAGAATGTCACTTGATCATCATCCTGGATTTGATACGGTAAGTCGTCATTTAATCAACGTTTTGGAAAATGTGTTTTCCTTTTAATCGAATCATTTGTTTCACTGCCTGCAGGGTGGAGCTTTATGGTTCCAGAATTTGACTGAAATTCCCAACGGTCTTTATGGTCCACTTTTCCCCTTTTTAATAGCTGGTTTGCATTACACAAATACACAGGTATACACTGTTGTTTCTTTTATTTGATCACAAAAACTCAAGTTAACAGTTATGCTATATGTCATCAGCTGGAGTAGTTTCTGGTGAACTATACTTCCTGGCATTTTATGGTTTCCAGCTTGTTTGAAATATATATACGTTATCTTGCAGGTAGCTTTTTCAGCATCTTCAGTTCACAAAGTTGACAAATTTGCGGAATTAGCGAAAGTGAGTTCTTCTACTTGGTTATTCAGTTTTACAATACTTGGACATATACATTTTGTTGAACTGCCAGATAAAGTAACTGTCCTGGCTTCAAAGAAAATACCAAATTCTACTGAAAAAAGAAAGATCAAGTGTTTGTTATGCATGTTAATTACCAATTAATGATGGGTGTTTCTGTTTTCTTCTGCAGACTTTCAAGATATTTTTGAACTTAATGACATTTGCTCTTTATTTCCTTGCATTCCAAATGCCTCAGGTAAATTTATCTCTTATCATGTACCCCCTTCTAAAGTTCACATATTCTTGTTTTCGGGTACGTTAGTTTATAAGACTGCCAACTATGGGTATGATCTATCTTTGTGTCCAGATAGTCTTTTCCACTGACGTGACTATATTTTGATACTGTTTCAATTTAAGCTCCTTCAACTAAGTTTTTAAAAAAAAAGCAAAAGTCCGATTTACTTGACTGTCTTGATGACCTCAAAAGTATGTTTAAAGAAGACCATCTTCTTTTTCCACAGTCTGTGTAGTTCCGTTATTAACCTTGTGTCTGTGTCAGTTTTGTCTAAGAACTTGACTCTCTTGATAGCTCTCAGTTGCCTACTAACAGCCATTTTCACTCCATTCTTTCTGTTGGGAATACTGTATTTTTCACTGCTACCTGTTCAAAATTTGTATTTCTTCTCATTTTGTTTCACAATTACTTCTTAGGGAAGTCTGGTTTACTGGTCTACCAACTTGTCATTCAGCATAGCTCAGGTTTGTTCTACTGATTATCAATCTAAGATCTACTTACTCTGTTTTGCTTTTGATATTGTCAAATTATAATATTTTTGATGGTGATGTATTGGGACAAGATTTCTTAGGACCAATAAATAAAGAAAGGAGCTCTGTACTTTTTTAGTCTCGAATTCAGGCAAAACTTGAGATCTTGGTTAAAGTCGTTAAGATGACGAACTTTGTGATAACTGGGAAGAACAAAAAATTACTGAGGCTCTGAGTCAATGAGGATTGATACTTTAGGATCCAAGTCTTATCTTAGACGTTGGCCCTAAGTTACTGATAGAGTGTAGCAATTAGTTAAAAGGTTTATCTATTCTGTTTATGGGAGTTACTCCATAAGCTTAGTATGGGTAGATTGAATCGAAGTTTACTTTAGATGAACTCCTCAGCCCTTGAGTTCAGCTCTTCTGAGCAATGGAATCTGATTTTCTTGCTTACTTTTTACTGTTCATATCTCTGTTCACAACAACTCTGCCTTCCCTTTTCACATCAAAATATGTAAGTACCCTTCTGGTTCTCTCATATATTGTGCATTGGCGTTGTAGCAAGCAATCCTCAAACATCCCCTCGTAAGTTCTAAGTTGGGCCTACAAGGAAATGACACTGTCCAGAAAGAGGCTGGAAATCCTATATTAGCGAATATAAATGAAGCGAAACTCACTGATCCATCCGTGAAAGGGCGTTTGATCTCAGGGCATAAGTTAACCCCTAAGGAGTTGGTTGGTGTAAGTCAATGTCATTGATATGAATGCTCTCACAAAAATCTTTGATACTATTGTTAACAGCTTTTCTTAACAGCTTTCTGCCAAATACTTATCCGGAGGGCACAAGGAAAAATCAATTCCGCTATTAAGGTAACTATGTAGCTACGATTTCTTCTCATCAGGGAAAGCATTTCCTCGGCACCTGTCCTTTTCATTGTGGTGGCTGTTCTTGTGAAACTTTGTTGTGTTTTTTTTGTTTTTCTTCTTCAGATTGGCATTAGAAAAGGATCCTGAGTATCTTCAAGCTATGGTTATTCTTGGTCAGGCTTTATATCAGAAGGAAGAGTTCGCCGAAGCTGCCAAATACTTAGAGCAGGCTGCTTCAAAGGTATGATATTGATGTTCTTTGATGTTATTTCATTTGACTCAACCCTATTCATCGGAAGTAATTCTGTGATCCTCGCAGCTTATTGATCCCTGTCCAACAGAAGTCGAAGAAATCGATCTTTTAATTGTTGCATCCCAATGGGCAGGTGTCTCCAATATACGCCAGGTGCATTATTGTTGACAGATTTCCTTGTATACATACTGTTGAGAAGAAACTCTTAAGAAAGTGAAAACTTATGGCTTTAGGGGAAGACATCAGAGGGAATTACACACCTGGGAAGAGTAGCAAACATGAAAGAGCCTGAAGATCCCAAGACCAAAGCTCATTACTTAGACGCATTGGTACTATACTCGAGGTACAAAGAAACAGAAAGAATTAAAATTCGTCTCTGAGAAAGAGCTTTTTTTTTTCTTAATCACTTTGTGTGTGTGTGTGTGCAGTGCTATTTTCAACGAAGGAAGGAGAGAGGAAGCAGCAAAGTACTTGAGAAAAGTGGTTGCTTATGATCCATCGTTCCAGGAATTGTTGCAACAATGCGAAGAAGATGATGATGATACCGTTCCCATTGACAATTCTACTTCTTCTCCATCTAACTCTACCCACAAAACTTCATAAGCTTTCTTACTTTTTTTTTGTTTTGTTTCTTTCAGTCTCTTACTGATTTTCTTAGGGGTTTCACCATTTTTTGTTTTTGAAGAAAATATGATTTTTTGGTCTGGTCCAATTTTGGTTCCTTACATAAAATTGGGTGAATTGAGAAAATATTTGGTGAAACACATTAAGTAAAAGTAAAGTAGAAATACATTTTTAACAGCAAGACAAATACCATTCTTGAAACACCATGACTGATCTCCTGATTATTTCAAGCTGATCAACATCTCTTATTAAATTTGACTCTAAGCCCATGCTTCATGTGAAGAATAAGACCAGAAAATGGCTCAGTCTTCTGTCCCTTTACGACCTCAACATCATAGTTTTGTAATATCTCAACAACCACTGTCTTCAACTGAGTCATAGCCATGTTCTTGCCAAGACAAGCTCTTGGACCGGCATTAAATGCAAAGAACTTGTAAGCAGGCTCATGTCTTATTCCTCCAGTCGCAGAAACCCATCTCTCTGGCTTGAACTCCAATGCATCTTCTCCCCAAACCGCTCTCATCTTCCCCATCACGTAAACAAAAATCATGATCGTTGAGTTTGCATCCACTTTATGACCACTTGGAAGAACATCTTGTTTGATCGCTGACCTGCGTTGGAATGGAACTGGTGGGTATAGCCTCATTGATTCACACAATGCTCCATGTAGATACACCAACTTATCCAGCTCTGCTGGATCATATGACGGTCTCTCCTTGCTACTACCGGATCTTGGTAGATTCTCTTGGATCTCATGGTGAATCTTGGTCACCACGTGAGGTTTTTCGGACAGAAGCCAGAAGAACCAAGTGAGTGTAGATGCAATAGTGTCTCTAAACGCTAAAATGAAACCCACAAAGACGTCTCTGAGGAGTTTATCATCAATAGGATCCAAGAGCTCGAACTTTATGAAGAACGTTAAAAGATCCACAACTTCTTCATTAGTGACCTCATTTCGTATCTCATCTCTCTTATCAGAAACGTATTTTCCACACAAACGACCAAAGGTGGCATCAGCTTCTGTCAACTTCTTCTCTTGTCCCAATCCCATCCTGTTTTGCAGCTTCCACATGAATCTTGGTATCAAGTGCCTATACACCATCGCTACTTCAACATCTTCGACGGCTTTAAACAGCTCATCGTTAGCCATTTGAACTGAGAGAGATCTAGGATCAGGCACACCTAGTGTAACTAGGGCTGCATCGAAGGTGAATCTCCGGAACACGTCCTGCAAGTCTACGACCGTCCCTTCCTTTGCAAAATGATCAAGAAGAGGCAGAAGTTCGTCTTTGAGTTTGTTTCTTGTGGCAAAAATTGTAAACCTTTGAAACCTTGGATCATGAAGCATGGCTTGATAACACTTCCTCAGGTTGTTGGTTCGCTCCGAGTCCGAGTTGAGTAGTCCGTTTCCGAAAACTTCGAAAACTTCTTGGAACGCAGGGCCTTTGATGTAGTTGGAGAAATTAGAGCTCATTATATAATGAACATTAGCTGGATCAACCGTGACTAACATATCCATTCCAGCGAACCACGGGCCCTTGAATGGGAACGTCATGTTGTAGTTCTCGAGAATCTCGACACCGTCATAGATCCGGTTCAGTCTCACGACCAAACCCGGAAACATCCCAAGAATTGGCCAGTTCCAAGGGTAGCTTTGAAGGGTTTTCTTGATTTTGAAGTAATCAAAAGGTTTCTTGATGAGAAAGTAATAGGATATGAGAAAGCAAAAGAAAACTATGGATGCTTCAAATAAGCCAAACGAAGACATCAGATAAGTTTGATTTTGGATACAAGAAAGGGGAAAACGAAGGATGTTGATTTATGCACAGATGAACATGCACATAAACAGGATGAGTTCTGAAGTCATTTGTTTGACTACATTTATAGGCGGAGGTACTGTATATGTAGAGTAAAAAAGAAAGAAAAAAGAGATACATTTGATAGGTTACAGTTTTTTCTATTTAAATAATAAACCCTAATATAAAATGTTTAAAATCAATGCTGACCTTTGATTTATAAACTTTGACATAAAAATTTGTTATCATAAGACCCATAATTTTTCATGATCATTAATCATTCGGGAGTTTATTTTTTTTTAGTCGCCAGCATTTCCAATGAAAATTATTGGTATTTTCTATCTGAATACACTTAGTTGATCAATGATCAGTGGGTAACTTAATTAAATGAAGGATTTCTTTTTCTTGCATAAAATCTAGAAGACTTGCCAATCTAAAGAACCAAATTATTTTTCCAATGAAAATTATTGGTATTTTCTATCTGAATACACTTAGTTGATCAATGATCAGTGGGTAACTTAATTAAATGAAGGATTTCTTTTTCTTGCAAAAAATCTAGAAGACTTGCCAATCTAAAGAACCAAATTAAGCAATTACATTAACAAAAACACAACACGTTAGCACTTAAGTGGAGAATTGAATTGCGTGCCATTAGTTTGAGGGCCAGCATATTTTGCGGAGAGGACTTTCACTTAAAATTTAAGCCAAGAAGAGAAAATGCTTTGTTCATATAACACGTATCATTTTTGAACGATACGTGTTGGAGGGAGAGTGAAATCCGAATGAACGCCACTATAATCAATTTAATCAGCGAGCGGTTTCTTGATGAAAAAGTAACATAGTTGAAGTTTTTTTTTTCTTGCTGAGGAAGTAACCAAAGGGATTCTTTATGGGGAACTAGCCCCGTTGAATCGATTTTCTATCCAACAAAAATCATATATATCCAGAAAAAAATGTTCCTTACATTTTTTTTAACAGGACGGAATACATCTAGTATATCAATAAAAGTCTAATCAGACTAACTTCTCAAGCTCTGTGATTGTGTATTCTGTTAGGGAAATAAGGTTGACTATATCTTACCGTCTTACGGGCACACATACCATGTAGTAACAAAAATAGCTCATAACTGGTCAATATTAATGTACACATATAATGATATAGGGGTTGGTACCACTCCCACTGCCTTTTGCTGATAAATAATAAACTCCCATACCACACACCCGACTTGTATTTTCACTAGTTGATTCGTAATCTCACTGCTATATGATAAATCTTGAAGTGGTGTATAAGCTCACTAACTTAACTTCCTCCATCTCTTTCTCTCCATCTTATCAATTTTTTTTTGTTATGTAGAAAAGATTGCTCCTTCACATTGCATATACTTCATTATCATCATCTCACTAACTATCCACGAGACTTGAGTTTTCTAGAAACACTAACTTCCACAAAGCTGAAGGTACTCTGCTCAAATGACTATTCTTTTATCTATAGTTTAAGGTATTCGACTTAAGTTGCTTTCTTTTTTCCGTTCTTTGTCCCAATGTCAACTTATTATTTTCTTAGTACTTGCAAGAGAATAAATACATATATCTCTTTTTCAAGCGTACGTTTATCGCATTCTAGGTATTTTTATTTTAGTTTTGGAGATCAAAATCAAAGCTTAATTTTCTTGAATGGTGGTCATATACATGTTTGTTTACTCTCTGTGTTTACCTCAAAGGATGTATGATTGTGGTTTCTTTATATGGATCTTTAGCTTCGCGGATCTTAGGGTTTCTAGAATACTGAAGACTCCCATGCAAAATCATTGCGATGATGATGGTGAAGTATATTTTATGTGAAGGAATGAGAAGTTTGTTCATGAGATCTAGAAAACTAGCTATTATCATAAAAAATTAATTTACTGAACTTGTGTGAACCTTAAGCTTAAAATCAATTTACTACCTCAACTAGACATTTGATTAAGTTATGACATGAGAACTTCGATTAATTGACCATATAAAGCTAATGAAGTCTCGAGCTCTTGGACAAATAGATTTGTCAATACTGAGTAAACGTGCATATGATGTTTGAACACTTCAGACTTGAACTCTTTATTATTCTTAATTTTCTTTACTATTATAATTGGTCCTGTGTTAATATGGACTATTGAAACTCTCCACCCATTATTAGTGTTTTATTTTGTTTTATTTTATTTTATTTTACAAAATTTATTAGTGTTTTGTTCACATGTGAATTTATGTGAAGTGAACAACACCAACACTCTTCCTCGTCTCTTCACTTGTTCTCAAGTTGAAAACTTACTTTAGTTATGGTATACTGAATATTCAATATGAGATGTTAATGCGTATATGACAATATATAAAAGTTCAGCATAATCAGATAAATAGTAAAGTTAATTATTGTCAAGAAATTAGATTAATTTAGGGTGAGTTTATATATTAATATTCTAGGGCTATATACTTAATGATTAGTAATACTCTTGCATCATCAAATGATTGTTGATTGATTCTCAATGTAACCATACTCTTAATCTATTTTCCCCATATTTTTCTAATGACTCCAATCATTTGATTGCCTTGTTTGCATTATTTTTAGTCATTTATCGTTGTTTAGTGTATACGTTTACTTAGCTTTAAACACAAAAACTTTTAAAATGTACATTGCTTTGGAAGTTTGCATTTCATAGTTCTAGTGTAGCAATATATCGATCATTGTCAATTCGACTCTAAAAAGTAATAATATCACAAATACATTAAAACCACAAGACTGATCATCTAAATATTACTAGCTAGAGATGATTTGACATTTTTTCGTTATTTTCAGAATGTTGGCAAAAGAAACAAGACTTCTTGGGTCTTCGGTAATCAAAAGCCAAGACAGTTTCCGAGAAAATGTCTGCAGCTGTCTTACATGAGTCTTATGATTTTCTTTGCACAATAATGATTCTAAAAGTCTAACATATACTTTCATGGAAATGTTTGAAAGATAAAATAATACTTATATTATATACACATGCATGAAAACGAAACAAATTATAAAATTACAATCGATTTAAGACTTCAACCAACGCTTAAAACAAAAGTCCTCATCCGCACAAATAGATTTACACGAATTGTTTGAATCGTGCACTTTAATATAATATCTCAAATTCATATACTATACAACAAATACAATTAATAAGCTCGTTGACCTCTTTGACTCATTTGTCTAACGTTCTCTACTCGTGCATATGAATGTTTGAAAATTTAGGCACTATAATTGTTGGTTTCTTTTTTATGTCAACACCTTTTAATTACGTATATTTTTATTTGATACTTTAATTTGTGTATGAATATTGGAACATTCCGTTTTGTTTTTACTAATAACGTGTTAACAAACTTAACCGAAACTTTATTTGAGAACTATGGACATGGATGCTATGAAGCTTTTTTACGTTATTATGTTTGGAGTTGGGTCTGTGGACAGTATAACGAATAGAAATGATAAACCGTGAAAAGTAAAACAACATTTTTTTAATTTATCGCGTATGTTTTAATCTTATAACTAGGTTAATCAAAATTTATTCATCTGATAAATAATAATATTTGTTATTTATATGTTTTACAAATCCGTTTTTAGTTTATTTTCGAATTTTCTCATTTTAGTAATTATGTTGTTTAATGAATCAACTATTTTACTATCTTACTATTTAGTACACATAGCAATCAAGACCACTGAATCCATTATTGTTTTGTTTCAAAAACTCCAAAAACAAAATGAACTTTCCACCCAATTTTATAGTCGTTCGTTCACTCTTGGATTTATGATAAGAGGACCACACAGACTTCCATCTCTCCATTCCTCATTTCTTCTTTCTGACCTTCCTACTTTGTTTTGTTCTTGAAGCCTTTTGGCACGCATTTATTAGGATCTCACATCGAAAACTTAGAATATACCTAAATAATACGTAAAGGATATGAACCAATCCAGTGCCATTTGATTTTGAGTTGAAATCCCGTAAAATTAACATGGTATCAGAGCTCAATTTATTGATCATTCCCCAAGAGTAATTAGAGTTTATTTTCTCTCAGAAAAAGGGATTTAATTTGAGATAGGAGGTAACTTAGCTCAGGTAAGCGCCATTGGGAAGAATTAGGATTCTACACCAGAAGTTTCTTGGGATGGTCTTCTTTTTACCATCCTAGCTAGTAACCTCTCAAAACTTTTCAAATTTGGTTGCTAATATTTAATATATGCGAATATTTTTTTGGCTCAAATATATGTGGATATTGTTTTAACTAACTGTACATGTTTTTTTAATGTATATTGACTATGTATTTAACAAGTCTCCGAGATAATAGATCATCTTCTTCTTTTGTCCGACAATAAAACCATCTCTTTCTGTAGGAAAGTCTTTTCTTTTCTGGTTCTAGGAAAGAGTCTTGTGTGGACCTATTTTTAATAAAAAATTAAAAATATAGTAATTATATGTAATAAGGCCATAGCTAATATACATTATAACGTAAAAACCCCATTATTAGTGATACCCAATTAAAAAAATATATATATTGATCTTGTTACAATTATCAGATTTCGAAGAACGGAAAAAAATGTTTACTTTACCTTAGTTACCAATTGTATTGCTATTTTTCGTAAAGCACTTATTTGATGATAATTTAGGGTCTGACGTTGTCTACTTTGGCGAAATTATGCGGACTGAAAGAGCATGTACTATGCATGTTTAGTTGTTTAGCTAGGCGTAACATGTTGTTTTACATATGGTTTGCTCTATTATTTAGCTTCTCTCGAGAAAAAAAAAATCAATCCTCTAAACATTGGATAGATGAAAGTATATATAATAATTTACTTGATATGGCCAAATGGGATTGAGTACTGGATTGCATCGATCTTTTGTATGCTTGGCTCATTGGGTGTTTAGCTATATATTTTTTAACAATGAAAGAACTGCCTTTTTTACCTGTACTTTTGCATTTTTTATTGTTTCATGATCAATACTCTCCACACCAAAAAAAGGAAAAAAAAAAAAACTATACTTAAAAAAAAAAATGATAAGGAATATTGAAAGGGATACTACATTACTACTAGTAAGAATAAGCATTGACTAATTCAATGTTAAGGTCAATATGGCTTGCGAAAAGCGATCACTGTCTCACGTACAAATTATGGGCCCGCTCCTAATTCCCAAACAAGTATGAAATGACAAATAATAAATAAATAAAATATGAACCGCGTAAAACCATTCTTCTCGTTTTCACTCGGAAAAACCAATCCACCTTCAGAATATCTTGCCCTATATAAACTCACCACGAGTCCATGGACTTCTCACTTTTATTTTATAAGCAACTGTGTTGTAATTAAAACACCAAAAAATATAATGGAGCAAGAGCTTCCGGTAGGGTTTCGGTTTTATCCAACGGAAGAAGAGCTGATTTTGTTCTACCTAAGAATCCAGCTCGGTGGAGGAGATGCCACCATTCACAGTCTCATACCCATCCTCGATGTTTTTAGTGTTGAGCCTGCTCAGCTTCCAAGTACGTATGCAATCTATAATTAGCGATGTTTATGATGTTACGTGATGATTTATGTTTCATAAATTTCTGGTATATATAGTTTTACTTAGGTTTGGCTAAAAGTGGATCAAAACGTCACGTCTCGTTGTAAAGTTCTCTCTTTTCGTTTCTTGAGTAGAATAATGTGGCCATGTCGAGTTCGTATGCATGAGATTATTAGATTTTGACTGTTTGTTTGCAATTATGTTTGCTTTATTTTTTCCCAACTGTATTAAACGTTAACCTATTTGGTTATATTTGCGTTTATATTTCTAAAGTTAACAAATGTTAATTTCCATAAAAGTATTTTGTAAAATAAGAGCAAACGCAAATGAATTTAGAAAATTTGTTTGAGTTTAACGTTTGCTCTTATTTTACAAAATACTTTTATGGAAATTAACATTTGTTAACTTTAGAAATAGGGTTTTAAATTCTTTTTTTCTAATAGACACAACAAATGCTAAGCAAACATAAACTCAAAATAGCAAGAAAAGAATCGAGTTTATAGTGTGTATTTTTGTTTAATTTCATATGAACTCACTACTGTATTATCTTATAATAAAGGTATTTTACTAATTGTAAACGCAAATTAACCTCAAAAGCAACATTAAGTACCAAATGACCTTCTGCTTAATTTTGGCGTCTGCGTTTGCATTTTGTGAAGAAAAAAAAAACATGATTTGAAAAATGTAAAGAAAAATTAAACATAAACCTAGAAAGAAACACATAAATTCAGGCCTTCCACGGAGATTGAGAGATGTTCTTTGTGGGTATTTTTTTGTAGATCTTGCGGGAGAGAGGTGTCGAGGAGATGGAGAACAATGGCTTTTCTTTGTGCCAAGACAAGAACGGGAAGCTAGAGGAGGAAGACCGAGCAGGACCACTGGTTCAGGATACTGGAAAGCAACTGGTTCACCGGGGCCAGTGTTCTCGCTGAATAACCGAGTGATCGGAGTTAAGAAGACAATGGTTTTCTACACCGGGAAAGCACCTACGGGAAGAAAGACACCGTGGAAGATGAATGAGTACAAAGCAGTTGACGAAAGAGCTTGTGTATCTACCATCCCTAAGGTACTAACATGATTTTTACTACCATCCCTAAGCAGTTGACGAAACAGCTTGTAAAAACCTAGTAACTAATTTTTTTATATTGAAACTTTTCTTGATTACAAAGGTACTAACATGATTTGTTTCTTTTTTATTCAAAATAGCTAAGGCACGAATTCAGTATCTGTCGAATCTACAAAAAATCAGGAAGTTCGAGAGCTTTTGATAGACGTCCTACAGAAGATTATGGGGTAGAGAGAAAGCCTCCTAACAATGGACTTGAGACATCATCTCGTGCAACAATATCAAGATCACTAGAAACTTCAAATTCAGGAGGAAACCAATTAGTTGATTTGTTGGTGAATGCTACTACTTTACAAAGCAACTCAGAGATGGTTGATGGGTTATCACAACCTTTTTGGGAATGGGAACAACTGAATTGGTCTTAAACCTATTAATATTTCTTCTTATGATGCTTTAGTTACTTTAAGTATGTAAGATAGTATATGAAAAGGTAGTACAGTATAGTTAGTTGGATTTATGGCCACCACAATTTTGTTTTGCCTTTTTTTTATAAGGTTAGATGAATGAATAAGAAAGAGATAGAGCGTGTAACAATTTTTATATTAAAATAATGTCAGATTTTAAAATTTCATCAGGGTTAGTTTCATCTCTATATAAATGTATTAGAATTTCCTTGACAGAAAAAAAAAGGGTGATTTGCTATAATAACCCACAAAATATTGTAAATAGCCAAAATAGCCTATCAAGAATTTTGAAGATTTTATAAAAAAATTTTTACACAATTATCCTTTTAAAGTCTTCCAAACTTACTCGCAGACTCGGATTTTCTTTTGCTAGTCTGCTATTTTTTTGGCAGACTCAACGTATTTTTGGTAGACTCTATATATTTTTTCGTAGACTCTGTCAAGCTTTGACAAACTATACCAAAATCTTCCAAATTTACTAGCAGACTCGGATTTTATTCTGCTGATCTTCCATTTTTTTGTGGATTCTGCATATTTTTAGTAGATTTAAATTTCAGTCTGCTAATCTGTTATTTTGTTAGCAGACACTACATATTTTTGGTAGATTCTGCGTCTTTTTTGTAGACTCTGTCAAGGTTTGGTAGAGTATACCAAAGTCTTCCAAAATTTACTAGCAGACTCGGATTTTAAATTGCTAGTCTTCCATTTTTTTGGTGGATTCTGCGTATTTTTGGTAGATTTAAATTTTACTTTGCTAGTCTACTATTTTATTGGCAGACTCTACGTATTCTTTGTAGACTTTGTTGAGGTTTTGGCAGACTACGTCAAAGTCTTCCAAATTTACTGGCAGACTTGAATTTTAAACTGCTAGTCTTCCATTTTTTTGGTGGATTCTGCATATTTTTGGTAGATTTAAATTTTACTTTGCTAGTCTACTATTTTATTGGCAGACTCTACGTATTCTTTGTAGACTTTGTTGAGGTTTTGGCAGACTACGTCAAAGTCTTCCAAATTTACTCGCAGACTTGAATTTTAAACTGCTAGTCTTCCATTTTTTTGGTGGATTATGCGTATTTTTGGTAGACTTAAATTTTACTTTGCTAGTCTGCTATTTTATTGGCAGACTCTACATATTCTTTGTAGACTTTGTCGAGTTTTGACAAATTACATTAAAGTCTTCCAAATATATTAGCAGACTTGGATTTTAATCTGCGAATCTTCTACTTTTTGGTGGATTCTGCATATTTTTGGTAAATTTGACTTTTACTCTGCTAATCTGCTATTTAATTAGCAGACTCAACATGTATTTGGTAGACTCTGCATAATTTTTTGTAGACATTGTTGAGATTTGGCAGATTACATCAAAGTCTTTCAAATTTACTAGCATATTCAAATTTCAATATGCTAATCTTCTAATTTTTTTATGAATACTACATATTTTTGATAGACTTGAATTTTACACTGTTAGTTTGCTATTTTATTAGCATATTCAATATATTTTTGATAGATTTTACATATTTTTTAAGACTATGAGTTTTGGCAAACTACACCATAGTCTTCTAAAATTATCACTATAATTGAATTTTAATCTTCTAATATGATATTTTTCTGTGTTGTTTTGTTAATATTGGATTTTAGTTGATGAAATATTTTCTCGCAAAATTCAGAAAAAGTTACAAACTGAAATCTCATATAGTCAAACATTTTATAAATGTGCAAAAAAACAAAAATGAAAAGAAGTAGAATGGATAGAGAATCAATTTCAATGATAAATACCATAAATGAAAAAATTGAGTTCGACAAAAAAAATTGCTGTTAGACCAAATATACATTGCCATGAAATTTGATAAAATAAAAATAATCAATTGATTTGAAATTAAAAGTTATTTATTTCTTATTTTATTTTTCTTTTATTTATTTATTAACTAAAACTAATTTGTTATTGTTCAAATTAAATGAATAGTTATGTGTAATTTACAAAAACGAAATTAAAGAAATAATTATAGTTAAAAGGATAAAACTGGAATTATACATCACTGCTTAAATGATTAATAGGTTATATGAGTAATAAAAATATAAATAGGTTATTATAGCTATTTCTTATAAAAAAGAGGTTATATTAGGTAATTTTTTCAAAAAAAAATATATATAAATGAATTCCAATTCCAACAATGCATTTTTTCGGATAGACTCATTCACTTTGATATGACTGAATTTTGTACTGTACCTAGTGCTAAATGAAAAAAAAGTGGAACCTGGCCTGCCTACCATTTTGTTTTAAGATTCTTCTTATCGATTCAAGGTGACAAAATCCGGAGAAAAAGGCATTTACTTATCACCGAGATAGAGATAGGTATTAGCTAACTTTATCCTAATGAAAACTGAAAACTATTGTTTCATGCACTATGCATTTGATTGGTAATTTGTGGAATATTGACATAATTGCGTCTAACGCGACTTCGAAAATATTTTATCAGTTAAAAAACCGTGGAATGCTAAACAACACACAAAGGACGTAAAAACGCAGGTTTTGTTTTCAGCTTAAGAAAATATAAATAAAGTTCACTAAAACAAATACAATAAGTAGGTATTTAGTAGCTTTATAATGTTAGTTTGAAGTTGCATAGTCATTTTTCGTGGTTATCACTCATCGCCTGCAATGTACTTGTAAATATCTTGCTTTGTGATATGATGATCAAACTTCATTACTGGCATTCATCTAGATAGTTTCATGAAAAGCAATCACATTATGCATAAGTACATGCTAGTGATTAGTCTTGTACAAGACTAGTTAACTTCAAAATACCAATGAACAATTACTATTCAACTATGTAGACATTGTAGAGTAATTAACTCCAAGTTAGCAGACTAAACACTAGCTCACTTCTCCGGCATTAGTTGATCGATGATCTAATTTTTTTTATTATTGTATAGGAAATTTTCTAATGGTTCTCCCACAACTTCTATCTAATTTCGAATTGGGTTTTAACCTTCAAAGTTCAAACCCATCTTGATTTAACGGTTTGTTAAAAGCTGATTAAATTACTTGAGGTAATTATTGATTAACTTCAGAACTAAAATAGTTAGGTCAACGAAAAATCTGAGATTTATTTGTCGCATTAAATAGTTTGAGATTTTCAAGTTTGAGAAATTATTTTTACCCTTTCTTTTCTTTAAAAAAAGACTCCAGGCTTTTGTTTTCTCGCGATATTTATATATAGTCATATTTATATATAGTCACATAAAATAACTAACTTAATCATAAGAAATGCTCAATTCTAATTGGTTCGATTATGTCATACTGTCCCTATATGAGATACGTTACCTCTTTAAGCTAACTTTCCCTTTTTAATACATAGAAGAAGAAGAAATACTTCGTCCCATAACCCAAACTTGAACCGAACCGAAAAATAACATGTACGTTAAGTGAAACTTTTACTCTAAAATTGAGCATAATCCGAACCAAACCGCAAACGGTTCTGTACAAACCGGATTTTAAATCAAATGCATCCGGTTCGATACGACGCTCCGTTATTAACCCGTTTTAATTAAACGCTATATTTAATCAAAGGCCCTTCATTAGTTCCTTCTTCTCATCACTCAATTTTTTTTCTCCATCGATACTCACTCGAAATCTCCTTCTTCTACTTCCAGGTTCGTAATCTGTATTGCATTTTGATGTTTCGTGATTGATGATTGAAATTTGCAGTGATCCCTCATTGATCTCTCTAAAACCCTGTTCGATTCAATCCGAATTTCCCCAGATCTGATCCTTTTTTGCCTCTCCTTGTCTTACAGATCCGAGGATTCTCTGATTTACAGGTAATTTGATTTCTTCTGGATTTTTATTTTTGGTATCACTGATCGCTTACGATTGGGATCATGGAACTTGATGTTTTCGCATTGGCTGATGAGGAATGATCATGATTCGGATTTTTGTAGATTCGGAGGAATTGGAATTTTAGGATTTTTGATCTCTCAATTTTTTGAAATCGGAAAACATGGCTGCTCCAGTGCCTCCAGGAGCTCAAAGACCTAACAATCCTCAAAACTCAGCTCCTCCACCAAATTATATCCCTGGTTCACAAGGAAACCCCCAGCATTCGTTAGCTGCTAATATGCAAAACTTGAACATTCACCGGCCGGCTCCTCCGATGCCCGGTTCAGGTCCTAGACCACCTCCACCTTTTGGTCAGTCACCACAGCCTTATCCTCAATCAGCACCTTCCTACGGTGTCCAACAGCAACAACCTAGACCTTCTCCAATGGCTAGACCTGGACCTCCTCCTCCTGCTGCAATGACTAGACCTGGTGGACCACCTCCTCAGGGATCGCAACCTGGCGGCTTTCCACCAAATTTTCCAGTAGGAAGACCAGCGGCTCCACCTTCTAGTCAGCCACCGTTTGGCTCTAGACCATCGTCTGGGCCAATGCCTGGAGGTGGGCCATTTCCGCAGCCTGGTGGTTTCCCACCTTCAGGTCCACCAGGTGGTGCTCCTCCTTCAGGAGCTCGCCCAAATGGTTATGGTTCGCCTCCACCTATGGGACCTGGCATGTCTATGCCTCCTCCTGGCATGAACATGCCTCTTCCTGGCATGACCATGCCTCCTTCTGGCATGCCTGGCGGTCCGCTGACTAATGGGCCTCCGATGATGGGTCCAGGGGGATTTCCCAGGGGACCCCAGTCTATGATGGGTCCACCGCCACCTTATGGACAGCCTCCCAATGCAGGTCCTGGAGGTTCTCCTTTAGCTTCGGCTCCTGCTCCGCCAACAAATTTTCCTGGTGCTCCTTTTAGCAGACCAGCCACCACAGGAAACTATCTTTATGGACCACCACCACAGCAGGTACATCTACTTGATGCGTGTTCTTGTCTATCAGTAAATTGTCAAGTCGACTTGTGAATTGATGAAACATGCAATGCCTTTATCTGGAAGAAAGCAAAACCTATTTTTGATGTAACTAGTAATAGAATGGGTAACAATTTATGTAGTGTGTTTAGATTTTTGTTTTTCTTCAGTTTCTTTGGCTGGACTTTCGCAGTTGATGCATTTTCTTTGTGTGACACATTATGATTGCTTTGAAATTTGAAAATTTGTAGATACCTTCTGCTCCCGGCACCCCTGGTTCGATGTATAACATGGGTCCTGTGCCGAATCAGTCGATGACCACTGTTTCTAGCCCTTCGAAGATTGATCTTAATCAGATCCCAAGGCCAGGTTCAAGCTCCAGTCCAATCGTCTATGAAACTCGAGTGGAGAATCAGGCTAACCCTCCACCAGTATGTCTTATAGTATTCAACTATTCATTTTGGAAATTACTATTTGATCTTTAGTGAGATTGGTAACCTGCTAGATATTTCCACTGAATCTCAATCTGTTTTACTTTTGGAAGCCTACTACTGTTGATTATATTGCTAGAGACACTGGAAATTGCAGCCCACGTTACATGCGATGCACAATCAGTCAGGTAACTATGAAGCGAGATGTCTTGAGTTAAATGTAATTATTTTTGTTTTAAGTATTGATCTAATGTGTACCTTGACCCTGGATCTGATACTATGCTTCCAATGTTTCCACAATAGATCCCATGTACTGTCGATCTTCTTTCTACATCTGGTATGCAACTGGCGTTAATTGTCCAACCGATGGCGCTTTCTCATCCTTCTGAAGAGCCTATCCAAGTAATATCAAACTTTAAAACCATTTTTTGCGTTCATTGTTTGCACTGTTTATATCTTATTTCTTTCCTTGTCCTATTGATCAGACCTTGCAGTTTCCAGTTTAGTATTGAACTTAATGTTTCCAGTCCTTGTTCCTTAAGAGTGTTACGAAATATTCAACTCATGTTGGCATGAACTTATGTTATTGAGCAGGTTGTGGACTTTGGTGAGAGTGGCCCTGTTAGATGTTCACGTTGTAAGGGATACATGAATCCTTTCATGAAGTTCATTGATCACGGAAAGAAGTTCACTTGTAACTTGTGTGGTAAATATTACTCTTTCCATTCAAAAAAAAAAAGCCATAGATAATAAATTACTGCTATATCAACTGCAATAGGGAGTACCAAGTTATGAGAAAACTAAAAATATTATACGCTAGAACTAAACTCTGGCTTACCTTACTGAACTGAAAGAAGTATGATGTGAATTTGGATTTCACCTTGAAAATCTCGTAAGGGAAAATGCTATTACGATCTTAAGAATTGTTATTACCGTAATCGTTTAGGACTTTAAAAATGTGGAATATGTTTGTGATCCATTTTCTCATCAACCATCTTTGCACAGGATACACTGATGAAACTCCCCGTGACTACCTCTGTAATCTGGGTCCAGATGGTAGACGTAGGGATGCTGATGAAAGGCCTGAGCTGTGTAGGGGAACTGTTGACTTTGCTGCTACAAAAGAATATATGGTGAGTTTATGGATTTCCTAATTATTGTATGCCAAAGTTTTGTGACAGCTCCATCAGATGTCATTTTTCTTTTACGGGGTCTCAGAGAACACAGCAAAGTTTATGGAAGTGCTCAGGTCTCATGTTCATTGCTTTAATTTAAAAATGGGGAGCAAGAAAATATGCTTTCACTGTTATTGCGATACCTATTACTAATGTTGATCTACAGAATTAGAATCAACCCTATAAAACTATGTTTTATTTCTAGTTTAGGAGATTGAGTTTTTGTTCCGGAATGGGAGATTATAATAATTAGATTTACTTGGTGATGTTAAGCAACCAAGATGCAAATAAATAACAGTATCATTTTTACAGGTGCGAGATCCAATGCCAGCAGTGTATTTCTTCCTCGTCGATGTCTCAATGAATGCGGTTCAAACAGGTGCAACTGCAGCTGCTTGCAGTGCAATCCTGCAAGTCCTCTCAGACCTTCCTGTAAGTTTACAGGCCCTGAATTGAATAAATGTTTTCTGTAGGCTGTGTGCTTGACTATTGTTGGGTGGATGGTAGTATCTATTGATTTCTATTTTATCATACCCTATAGTTTACCAAGCCCTTCCATAAATCTGCTAGGTTCGAAATCGTAAACCACTTTAGTTTTCTATGAATCAACGTAATGGCAGAGAATCAACGAGAAAAGCACAATAAAGAATTAAACAGAGAATCATATAGACTAGTGGGAGAACGTTAAAATACACAGGAACATCAGAAGCAATTTCTATTTATACTCAATGACTAACTGGCTGATGTGGGATAAAAAAAATGCTTTTGGTTAATGATGTGGCATAGTTGAAGAACACTTACTAGAAGCATCACCTACTAATAGCACGGACTAACTTGCCGGTGTGGCATAGTTGATTAACTATGAATTAGCTAGGAAAATAGGCTAGGCTAATGATTTTTCATAGATGTTTTTTTTTTCTAATCATTTTATGTTCTTAACAAAGTCTTGTATGCATTTTGCAGGAAGGTCCTAGGACATTTGTTGGAATTGCCACATTTGACTCAACAATACACTTTTATAATTTGAAGCGTGCACTTCAGCAGGTGATTTGTTACATTAGTTATTTCCTTGTTTCTTTGGCTAAACAGCTTAAACCAATTAATAGGGGGAATGTAGTTATCTATTTCTCCATTTGGTCTTACAAATTTGAATGTGTTATCTTGCTGCAAAGAATTCTTCCGCGTAACTTGGCTGAATAAATTCGTATTGTTTAGTTTTCTTTACTTGAAAGCCTCTCTTCAATGCATTTGGCATGAAGAGTAGCCTATATTGTCTTCAATATGAAACCATTCATTCAGTTTTGGAATGGTTCCTATGTTGCTATAATTTTCGAAAAGTTCTACTCTCTTCTATTGGTTACTGGTTCCCTTGTGATTTTGATTGCCCTGCTTACTTGCAGCCGTTGATGCTCATTGTTCCTGATGTTCAAGATGTTTATACACCTTTAGAAACAGATGTCATTGTTCAGTTATCTGAGGTAAGCACTTGGCTACTTGTTGTCATTCTTTCTGGGATCGCCCTGCGTATATATACTGTTTCCAACAGCTGGTTGCCATACTGAGATTGGTAACCATAATCTTTCTTAATTCTCCGTGTTACTTACTCTATTTTGTTGCAATTCAGTGCCGTCAACATCTAGAGATTTTGCTGGAAAGTATCCCAACAATGTTTCAGGAAAGTAAGAGTCCTGAATCTGCTTTTGGTGCAGCAGTTAAGGTATGCGAGTGCTAAATGTAAATGCTTAAGTAGAAATTGGATTCAGGTAGATGGTATGTAATATCCTCAGTTTTAAAAGTTGACTAATTAATAAGCCTAATCAAAATCTGGGTTAAGAAATGAAGTTACGTTGGCTCTGTGGGTGAAATTGGCCAGTAGGGCTGATGATGTAGCAAGCTCAGATGGTCTTTGGATCAACTTTAGTTCATTTTGCGATTTGTATTTGGCAAAATGGTGGGGGTTAGGTCTATTGCTCTCCGTATGCCATTGACTCATGTATCTAGAACATTTTCTCTCCTAGGCTGCATTCTTAGCGATGAAGAGCACTGGAGGAAAGCTCATGGTGTTTCAATCAGGTATGCTGCTTACTGTATTTGGGCCCTTAGGCTGATGCTTTTGTTTCCAATTACTTGGAATCCACCTACACATCTAGATTCTAGAATCGCCTTGATGATCATATATTTTTTTTCTTTTAGTACCACTTCATTCTTCTTCTAACATGTCCTACTGTTAAGTGTATAACTGATATGATTACCATCTCCTCGATAGTTTTGCCTTCTGTTGGCATTGGAGCACTTTCTTCTAGAGAGGCCGATGGGAGAGCTAATGCCTCTGCGGGTGAAAAGGTACACATGCATTTTTTGTTTCTTATAATGTGTTCTGACCTCTGTGTTAGAGATCTTGAAGTAATAGTTTTTTCTTTATGCATTTCCTTGGTTTTATTTCCTAGCTTGTTTTGTTGTTTATAGACTTAAATGTCATATGGTCCTGAGATTCATGGATGACACTATTGAAAGTAAATTTCTCTTTAATATGATTTCAGGAGGCCCATAAATTACTACAACCCGCAGACAAAACTCTAAGGACCATGGCTATTGAATTTGCAGAATACCAGGTATACGAATAGATATGATGTGTGAAATTAACCACTACTATTTCTATCTGCATATCACTTTCTCTTCGCTGTTGCAATATTTTTCTCTATCTAATGCATCCAGACATGCCTCAGGTCTGTGTAGATTTATTTATCACAACTCAGGCCTATGTTGACATGGCTTCAATTTCCGACATCCCAAGAACTACTGGAGGACAGGTAGATATATTCAAATATTCTTTATCCTTTCCGGTTATTTCGTATTCTTTGTAAATGACATGCATTGCTTTTCATTAATGATGGGTGTAAATTACATAGTTCAGTAGGGATTCTTGTTAACACAGTGGAGCTCGTCTCTATAACTTGATTATTTTTTTCCATAGAAGCATGTGTTGTTGGACATTTATAACACCCTCTCTGAACATTCTTGTGAAAGTTTTTCCTAGTGGACATTTATTCCCTGGGGATCGTAATTCTCATGGATTTTGAGCTCAGTGTTGATTTTCATTTTAACTTTTGGTTATATCTGTTTCCAGGTTTATTGCTACTACCCTTTCTCAGCTCTTTCAGATCCTCCCAAGCTTTACAACGATCTTAGATGGAATATCACTAGACCCCAGGGTTTTGAGGCTGTCATGCGAGTCAGATGCAGTCAGGTAATGTTTTTGTGGCAGAGAGCTCTGTCCGTGTATTTCTCTGAAAAAAATAAAATCAGAGGTTATGAATTGATGTATACCACTTTATTGTAGGGTATTCAAGTGCACGATTACTCGGGGAACTTCTGTAAACGCATACCAACTGACATCGATTTACCTGCGGTGGGTGGATCCTCCTTAAAATTTACGTGTAGTTGCGACTATAGCATTGTGTGTATCTGTTCATTTTGTGTAAATACCAAAAATGAATATATCTCTGTGCCGCAGTCCCAATACTACGGAATACTCCAGTCTCCTATTACTTTTGTCTGAAAAGTATAGTTTAATCAAAAGGGAAGCTCATGTTTGTTTTTTTGGTTGCTGGGTTCCTGGAGGAGCACTTTGGTTTATTTTGTTTCTTTTTTGACGAACCTTGATTGCCATGCAGATTGACTGTGACAAAGCTGTTATGGTGACATTAAAGCATGATGACAAACTACAAGATGGAGCTGAATGTGGTTTTCAGGTTTATCTTTTTACTTATGTTATTGGCCATTCGAAATATTTTTCTCGCCCTACTTTGT